TTCTGAATCTTCTTCGAATCCCCCATGACAACGCCCCTTACCAGCAGGAAGTAGTTTGGAAAGAACGACGCCCAAATTCCCAAATATTGTCTATGAATGTTTGTTTTCATTTAAATGGACTTTGTTATATAAAATAAATTTTAAAAAATTAAATAAGGGGAAAAAAAAAGAAACATTTTTCCTAACCTTTTGAGCTTTAGTTTTTAGAAGAGCTGGCACAAGCAAATCCTTCATACTTACTTACTTGAAAAAATGTCTCATCATGATGACTAGACACTGACTTCAAACTTAGTGTTCCCGTGCTTCAACTTCGTATGCACTCTGATTGCATACAAGTGATATCATGCCCAGCATAATTTCATTCTGATTATGACTGTTGCAACCCAGCAGTCTGCTGACCCTGGCCCCTGATAATAACAGCTCAGGGGACTCAATTACGCATGTACAAACTAGTTTCCTTTTTTTTTTTTTTTTTAAGCAAGCACACCCCTCTCTTGCCTTCTTTCTGTCTCTCTCTCTCTCTCTCTCTCTCTCTGTTCTCTCTCTCTTCCCCCCCTGCTTTAGGTTGCCCACCAGCTACCCCCCCTTTCTCTTCCCTCTACCAATAAACTCCACGTGGGTGCTGAGTCTTGTGTTTGTGTTTCATAGGCTCCAACTATAGCAAAAGAACAATGACCACCACCATCTCTTATCTCTGAACATTATTTCTCTGAAGATATTGAAGATTAACCATCTGTCCCATGATGCCAAGAAAGATTTACCTTGATTGGTTTGATTTCAGCCCTTGTTGGTAGAGAAAGTTTACACCAAGTGACAGACATCAAGGAGTCGGGTTCCAATGAATTCTTTAGGCCAAATTAAGCAACTAAAGTATAGAGAAAGTGGCTCGTGGGTCTGCTTGCCTTATGGGTAATGTTCTCATAGCATAAGAGTACTGTATAAATATAGTTCCTTTGTCAGAACTATATAAAAATTAGCCATGTAGCTTTGTAAAACACAACCAGCAAAAGTAAAACTAGTTTTGAAAATTACTCCTATTTCAAAAAGAAAATTCTCAACAAACTGTAACCTGCGATGCCTTCATTCTGGTAAAGAACATCTATAAAAACCTCCTTCCAACATGACATGAAATGATAAGAAATTGGAGAAGCTTTCTCCAAAATCAAAGACAAAACACAGTGCATGATTTGATGCTTCTAATAAAAAACAATCTTAAAAAACCAATTAGGAAAACAAGAAGTGTTTTCTTCAATAACAGATATATAGTCTATAATTAAGCTCCTTACTATGGCTTGAATGTAAAATGGCACCAACAGATTTGAATGGGGCTTGGTACTCAGATGAGATTGGCTTTGAGATGGGCCCAGATGGAGGGATAGGTCCCTGTAGGCAAACCTGGTCTGCTTATCTCAGTTTACATCTTGTTTCCCATTCACATCTTCTCCCTATTGTGTCTATTACTATGAAGGGATAGCCATATCTTTGCATTGTGATGGAACAGATAGTAATCACATCTGAAACACAAAGAAAAATTTTGTCTATTCAGTTACTTTATATCAATGTTGATAATAAAGGACATGAGAAATGTACTAAGTTACTAAATCTCACTGGCTTTACCATATCCACAGAAAACAAGATTAAATTCAAGAGCTAAATATATATTATATACCAGTAACAACCAAACATCAAAACTAAAATCTAGCACTATAAGAAATACTGAAAAAGAAATGTAACAGTAAATGTGAGAAAACTGTATATTGAAAACTACAAATAAAATGCAAAGATGAAAAACAAAACTTAAAAATGAAGAAATGTGCTTTGTTCATTTATAAATTGAAAGGTACATATGTCTGTTCACTCTAGATTTATGCTAATAGAGATTAGATATACAATCCTTATAAATATTCCAACAAGTTTTTCTATAAGTAAACAAACTAAATCTGAAATTCAGAAAAGTTCAGGAGACTTAAAAGAAAAACAGTTTTAAAAAAATAATCATAATGTTGAAAGACTTAATGATGCTCAAAGTTCATTATCAAGTACAATAATCAAGGTCACATGGCATTACTGGCATCAAGAAAAACAGACTAATCAGTGAAATACAAAGATCCAAAATTATAACTGCAGATACATGACCAACTGGCTTTCAACGTATACATTAATGCAATCATAGATAAAAAGATAATATTTCCAACATAAATAACTCAAAATGGATTCTACCCCTAAATTTATTCTTAAACACTATGAACACTTCTGAAAGACACATAGGCAGTTCTTGAAACCTTAGGTTGAATGAAGTGTTCCTACATGTGATAACAAATACATTGTGCATCAACAAAATTATACTTCATTAAAATTGAGAAACTTTGATTTTTAAAAGTATTGCTATGAAAAGAAAAGTCTAAGACATGAGCTATAAATAATATTATCTATAATCCAAGTATCTGACAATTTGTTTTCCTTGTATTTCTCAATAAAGTAACAAAAACATAATATGAGTGAGAAAATTTAAAACATATTTCATCAAAGACCATATATGGACAACAAATGATTCCAAGGGGAAAATGTTGAACATGACTATTTTTTTAAGAGAAATGCAAACATTGATGGTCAACCACATTTTGATAAGCATGTACAGTAACTTTATCTTTGTTGAGAACGTTAAACAATACAAACTACTTGGGCAAACAGTTTGGGAGATCTCTCTTCTTCTCTTCCTCCCTCCTTCCCTCTCTGTCTGTCTCTGTTTCTCTGTCTCTATCTATCTATTTCTCTCTGTCTTTCTCTCTCTAATACAGGATCTCAGTGTATAGTTCCTACTGGCCTAGAACTTACTATGGAGACTAGGCTGGCCTCCAACTCACAGAGATCCTTCTTCCTTTGCCTCCCCTACTAAGTGCTAGAATTAAACATTGGCAATTTCTTAAATGTTATAACTGTACTTCCCATATAAACAAAATCCTGTGTAGTTAGTCCAAAAAAATGAAATCATTAGTAAACAAATATGTAAACATGAGTGTTCTTTAAAACTTTATTTACAGTAACCAAATCTTGACAACATTGAAAATATCCATAAGATTGTGAATGGATAAAGATATTAGATTTCATCTATATAATGACATATTAATTAGAAACAAAAGAAACTATTGATATATAGTATAATGTAATATATAATATAATGTAATCTATCAAGTATAATGTAATGAAGGACAATCTAGAAATATTTTCAGTAAGTGATAGGAATAGTACAAAAATGGATACATTATTCCATAACAAATTAATTATGAAGCAACTCTCAGTGGTTGCCTGAGAGTGGGTATAAGTGGCTAAAACTTAATGTGGAGCTCATGGAAAGCAAGGTTACAAAGCCCGGGGTACACACAGAAGTGCAGGCAGGAAGGTTATAAGAGGCAGAGAACCAGAAAGTCTGCTGTGAGATGGTGTCTTCTAGCTATGAGAGGGAAGCTAAACAATGAAATCTCAACAATACAGCTACCTAAACGAGACCTGAAATTCCAAGAGTCAACATCCCAGTATAGAGAAAACATCATGGGGCCACGCCCTTAGATGAAGAGTTAGAAACAATTAACAACTGCTGAGAACGGGAGTCATTCGTGCCCAGGATAAGCCCCTGATTGGTTATCAAACACTGAGTGGTCAGCTCTTGAAACACTCATGCGGGAGGGGACACTGAGTGGACTCCACAGATTGCATTTGCATGTTTATCCCTTTATATATGCATGGAACAACTAAGGTTAAAGATGGGAGGGGGCTCTGATTTTGGAGGGAGGACATAGGAGCAACAGGAACTAGGAGAAGGAATGGGAAAATGATGAAATTACATTAACTAAAAATTTAAAAAATTCTTAAAATAAAAGATGAGATGCTACAAAGTTTCCAGAGGAAATTTGCAAGTGTGATGGTCATGCTCTGTTTCTTAACTATGCAGATGGCATCGTGGGTAGATGCATGTTTCAGAACGTACTGAACTGGACATTCAGTTATTCCTATTCTATTCAATTATTTGGTTGAGATTCCCCTCTTCACTCCACTCCTCTTTTGCCCTCCTCAGTCACTCTTGTGTTCATGACTTCTTCTTTAATCATCACACACATTCATGTATAAATACAATCTGCTGAATCCATTTAGTGGTGCTTGATTCTATGCATTTAGGGCATCAGGGGTGCATTTGACTTACGTGTGGTTAATTAGACATCTGGTTTGTAAGAATCATTCATTGTGAAGCTTCCTTTGGGGCTGTGTGAATTAGCAAGAACTGGGATGAGGTGGGGGGGATAAGGACCACACTGTGGAGCTTTCAAAAGAAGTGTGTGTGGAAGAGAGATAAGGGCCACACTTTGGAACTTTATCCTTCGACTCTGTCCTGAAGTTCTCTGCTGAGTCCTTGAACTTGTGCTGGAAATTGGTGGGAATTTTTGTCTGAACCATGGGGCATACAGGACTGTTGGGTAACACTGATGCACTGAGAGACTGTCTCAGCTTCTTGTGAGATACAGGGAAATTTCAGCAGTTACTCTACAGCTTTCACCCTTGGCTTTGTGAATGGGAACCTTCAATTGGCATTGCTTGGCAAGACTGGCAGCGGTAGAGGGCACAGCTTAGAGATGTTAGGAGCATGTATAACACTTCCAGACCTAGGTTGTGAATAAGGCTGGAGACAACGAGAATCACCTCAGACACTGCAAGCCAAGTATGGCCTTCTCAGCTCCAAGCTCCAACACACGGCATTGGAACTGTCAACAAAGATAATTACCAACTACTAACTATACTCTTTTTATTTGCACAGGGATACCACATTACCAATCTGGTAACATAGGAGCTTAATTCTGGCACGTGTAAAGCAATCACACATTACCGTTTCTTGTCTTCTTGAGACAGGGCCTCAAGTTTTCTATGTAGATGAGGAATACCTTCAATTTTTTTTCTGCCTGCACTCCAACTCCCAAATGCTAGGATGGCAGGTAGTCACCATCATACCTGGTGGCCTCGTATTTTGTTATGCAAACATTCTACCAAGTGAGCTACATCCTCAGCCCCACAATAACGCCTTTATGGAGAAGAGAACCTGCCACAGAACAAGATGCTGCTGGTTTTGTGGTGCCAGATGAAGAAAAGGAATGGGTGGTCAGCACAGAACCTTGGTTCTATTCTGCAACACCGGGCATTCCTGACCACTGCAGTTGTCGCTGCTGCTTCTGTGCCTTCCTCGTTGACCTCAACAAAGCACTTATGGGCAACCTTGGACACAGGCACATTCTTCATAGTCGTCATTCCAGAAAAGTCAGCCTTTGTTTCCTCGAAGGCATCTGTCATGCCTAACTTCTGAAGAAAAGACTCCAGGTCATAACTCTCCTCCAGCTTTAACCTGGGCAAGAAAACTTGAACTTTACTTTCTGTCATGTTTTCTGCATTTGTCCACGATCTGAACTTCTCATATGTCAGAGCTTTTTCCACCTGGAATGACAAAGGACCATATTTTCAAAATTAGGAGGACAGAAGGATAGTGCCTCTTTCGTGACCTTATCCCTTCACCTAGTGAGGAGTTCTTTCATCCAGGGACAGTCATTTGACTTTGCTTCTATTCCCAGGCTTTTGTAGATTTCTTCTCAGGTGGCCATGATAGCCCTCATTCTTAACTTATGCCAAAAGCTTTGAAATTATCGACCTGGTGTAGTAGCATGATGTAGCTGTCTCATGCTGATTGTAAACACTTAGTAACCTAAAGTCAACTCTGGTAGGCAGGCACTTCCCCAACTGAGAGCTGGCTTACCAGAGCAGGATTGGTCATACCCCTTCTACTTTGTAAGTCTCTCCTTCCATGGACCTTGTCCCTTTTCTGTTATAGGAGGATTGCACGTAAACCCCAGACTCGTGTACTATAGACCCTCTGATTAAAGATGTGCTCCATGGGTCAACTGCACTTGCTTCATCCGAAATTTTGTCAGAAATGCAAAATCTCAAGTCATTATCTGCTGAATTAAAACCTGAATTTCTTAGAATAATCTCCCTGGGGTTCATGTGCATGTGGACATGTGGGAAACATTGCCACAATCCAATGCTATCCTTCACCTAGGATCTTTGCTCAAGAATTGTTGGGCTAGCAATAAACCTCACCCTCCTGAATTTAAAATGCTGTTGTATTTTTGGAATGTTCTCATCCTAGCTTCATCAAACTGTCTTCTCCTAGATAAACACTTTAAAGAAGTACATGCACATGCTCACTGAAAGGAACACCTGGGTGCTCATCTAGCATGAATAACCCTGAGCTGGAAACTCTGCAAATGGTAGCTGAAGGATAGACTAAGAAAATGAGCTCAGCTGGCATGCACAGACACTCAGTGCCCGGCACTCACCACAGCCAGATCAGTGTTTTCATCAGGAAGCAGAATGACCATGCACAGCTCTTCTTCTGCATAGGGCAAAACCAGGACTTGCGTGTTCACCTCATCCACATGCCCCATCTTAAATTTAGCATGCTTGAACATCATCTGAACTGTTTTTCTTTCCTAATGAAAATGAAATTAAAATTAGAACTCCAAAACAAGAATTTACAAAAAAAAAAAAAAAAAAAAAAAAAAGCCATACCCAACTCCTGGGACTCAGAAAAAAATCTAAGATGATCATTACTTCTTTGCAGTTAGTCTGTTCATTGTAAAATCTTCATTAGCCTATTGCAGCATCAAATGGGCTATTGCTCTTTGAACAAAAACTTGACATTACTTTTGAAGAAATTGGGTTTGTTTTTTAGAGAACTCACAGTGAAGAATTTCCATGGACTTGCAGTTTAGCATTACTTTTCCAGATTAAGAAGAGCGTTCATTGCCATTCAGCCCTTGGACTGAAGGGTCTCATTTAGAAAGACAGAAAAATCAAAGAGAGATACACATGTCCTCTAAATCATTGCCATGATGTACAGTTTGTTTCATATCTTTTCTTTTCTTAGGAGGGAACCATGGCATGAGCTATACAGTCAGGCAATTTTAAAGGTCTACCAAATACATTTCACAGTCATCTCTTTGTGAATCCTGCTATTTTTTAAATTGACAGAAGTCAAATTCCATTTCATATTTAAAGGGAATGCATAAAATTATATTTAAAATTAGAGTAACATCTGCTAACATGTTCTCTTTCATTAAAGATTCTATTCTCTTGAACTCTAAAGAAATATATCTGCTAACTACCATGGGCATGGCAAAAGATATGTAAGCAACTATAGTGATAGCAGGAAATCAACATAATGACAAGGCTCAGGCAGGATCTTCCTGCAACCCAGATCATTTTTCTGAGGATTTAAGATGAAATTGACCAAAGATGAGCAAAGAAAAAATATTATTTATACACGTTATTCTAGTTTCTCTTCCTACCTCCAGTTAAAGATATAGAAGAGGCATAAAGTTTCATTCAGAAACAGGCTATGAATCAAGGTAGTATAAAATAAACTTTTCCTTTTCTCATCGATCACCTTATCAGCTTACTATTTTAAGAAAATAACAATACATTGAAAACCACCACCTTACCTGGTTTGTTTTAAAGGGCATTCCCCGTGTGTACTTTCTGTCAAACTGAGCCTTCCACTTCCCTTTGAAGTACATGGCATTCACAAGAACCAGCTTAGTCAGCGGGCAGACTGTTCCAGGACTCAAAACTTCTGAAATTTTCCCTGTAGAGAACATAAGCACAAAATGTAAAAGAAGAGGACTGTGAGAGAAGTCTTCAGTGATTTGGGGGTGGGATGTCAATAAGCATTCTCCTATAATCAATTGTCCTGACATGAAAATACAAAGCCCAGACTGGGTGGAGAACTAAACTGCAGCTCTGTCCAAGGTATCATTTGTCCTTAAACAATAACCACATCTTTTCATCCTCATAGGACAGTCTTTTGCATAGCATACACTGGCTTCAACCTTGCTATCGAGGAGAGGCTATCCTCAAACACATGACCTTCCTTCTTCAGCCTCAGTAGTGCTGGTGTATTGGGTATTTGCCAACATACCTGGTGTAGAGAGAAGTTCAAACGCAGGTATGGCTGCTATGGCTTATCCTTGAGCTTATGTGTATAGCAGTTCAGGATGTGTGCATTTCTCCAAACTTCTGTTCAGTTCAGAAGTAGCAGTTGGCTACACTAAGAAAGCCACCCAATATCTTTGATTCTAACAACAGCCTCTTAGCTTTAGCACTACAAGATCTCAGTTACATCACTATGGACATTTTACTTGGGATTCCTTCTTGGTTGGGGGCCAGCTCTGTTGTGCATGGTAAGGGATTTAGCTAGTGATACCTTCCTCAATTTCAATAGCCAAAAGTACTCTCAGCCACTGCCAAGTGACAGCTGGGAAGTAAACCCAGTCCTGGTTAAGAATCACTGTTTGGTACTAACCTCCAAATCACATTTATAGAATCAGAGGCTTCCAAAAGATCATAATTATAGACCTGTAGTGGAGGAAGGAAGTAAAGCTACCAAGAGCAATAAACTGCAGAAACTATAGAAGCAGGATAAAGGGCTCAAATCCAATTGTCCAATGAATGGGACAAGGTGATCTCTAAGATACCGTTCAGCTCCAGCATTCTGGGAAAACACACAAGTCGTCAGCCTACATAAAGGATGTGAAGAGATAGGGAGAATTGATGGTGCATGAAGGGCAAGGTTCAGAGAACCTCTTCAATAACTTACTGCTATTTCATCAGTGAGAATGCAAGCCCACTAGGCAAATGACGTGTGAATCATGGGAGGCGCTCCCCTTCCCAGGCCCATGGTTTGACTGGCTTTTAGTATGATCAAGGACATCACTCCTAATTCAAACATGGTGAATGCATCATGCAAATTAAATGTATTACATACTGGGTTCTAGATTGTCTCATGAGCAAGTAAATGACATTCAATTCCTCCATATCTTAGAAATATCAAAGTTTCTTGTTTGTTATTTAGGGTATCCTCTTTTGCTCTATATACAAGTCAAGAGGATAGGAAGCAATCAGGTCTGTGAACACTGTAATCCCAATAGTAACAAGACATCAGAACTGTAGAGAAAACCTGAAAATGTTCATGTTCTGAAATGATTGTGGCCACCATAGTCATGTTAAGAGAAGGACGAAGGCTCTGACAAACTGATGAACTGTCTAAAAGTTCATCCCAAGAGAAGATGGCTGTGTTTCAGAGAACAGCAGAATCCTCCCCCCCCCCACCGACAGAACATTAGCAGGAGCCCCAAACAAAGCATTTCCCAGGGACTTTCCAGCACAATTCAGAAGGAAGCAGTCTGAGACTCAACATTGGGTTACTTTTTAAATGTTATGGTCTGATAGTTCCAAGGAAAGCCCAGCAAACACACACCATCACAGCTCTAAGATGAGCCACAGGAGCAACACCATAGAGGACCCAGCCCGGCCATCCACAGAACTCCCTGCCCATCCTAATTCCAATGTCCTTCTGAATTAAAACCTCCTACCTTCAGTCTTATCCATTACCCAGTCGTTGATGTGTTTCCTGCATTCTTCAGTGTCCTTAGCAAAAGACAGCTCTTCTAGCCCTGCCTGATAGAACTTCTGGCAGGATTCCTTGAAGGTCTACAGGCACAAACAGAGGTTGGACACTATTCAGCACTTTCTCAAGCTGTAAAAACACATGTTTTCCCTATCATAAACATCTGTGGAGGCAGCACTGTATTTAAAGATATATTCACATAATTCTCAAAAATGTGTGGACCTCCTACACTAACCAAAGCTGAGATAGACACTAGATGCTAGGTAAAAAATATGCACCTGACCAGGTAGTCCAAAGTCTGTTAAGAAGGATACCATGTACACAAAGACACTTACAACAGGTTAGGACTGCAATTATCCATGTGCAAAGCACAGAAATGTCTCTTCCACACATGCTGGATTAGCTTTGCTTGATTTTCTGTTTCCCAACCCAGCAGGTTCTCACTCTTTTATGCATTAGATTGTCAGAAGCTAGAGTGTTGACTTAAATGTAAACAAGGAAGTAAACAGAATGTTTATATCTAGAACACAAGGACTGGGTGGTTCTCAACCTCTTTAGCAAACCTCTATCTCCAAAATTATTTACATTACATTTCATAACAGTAGCAAAATTACAGTATGGAGTATTGATGAAAATGATTTTTGGCTGGAGGTCACCACAAGACGAGGAACTGTATAGTCACAGCATTAGGAAGGTTCAGAACCAACTGTTAGAGAATAGGGGAAAAGGAAAGGTCTATGGAAATGGCAAAAGATATCGGGATCATGGATCCTCACAAAGTATATGGATATGAATGTATGTATTTATATATGTGAGTCTGTCCATACGTTTGTTTGTATCAGCAAATTCAAAATATAAGTTGAATTTAAACTAGGAGATTACCTAACAGAACAGAACCCAGGCAACTCTACAAAAACTTGTTTTCAGATGTATACACAGTGATTAACTCCACTTTCTGCCTGATACCTAGTCAAAAATGTTTTAGGGGCCATGCATACTAGAAAGGTAGAATGTGGATCATTGTGCCATCAATATTAAAAAATAAAACTGACTTTCCAAGTGAACATGAATTCACTAGAAGGATCCTAGGATCCAGAATCATCTCCAGTGACAGATGAGACCAAAGCAGGGAGCTGCCAGGGGATGGGATTACCACAGGCAGGACAGCATACATGCTCCTAAGAACTTCCAGCCAACAAAACAGTCAAGCTTGCACCACTTATTTCACTAATTTCTTGTTAGTGACATTCTGCATATTATGTGGCATGAGTGTCAGACCTCCCTCATTGTAGCAGGCTATGGGAAGTAAGTGAGTTTGTGATCATACGCTCAAGCATGAAAACGTTTTTATCTTAGAAAGGCTATATTTTCAGCGGTTGGATTTGGGAGACAAGAAATGGAAAAAGAAGGCCCAAAAAGACCCATTAAAAGCAATCTATACTAACGTGGGAGATCCAGCCCACAGTCCATCGGAATCCATTGGACAATGGTGATTTGGAAGATAGAGTAGGCTTTACAGACCTTGAGAGGTTGTCCAAACAACACTCAGCCCCCAAGTGGAAGTAGGATGGGGAGGGGCTCAATGTAACGTGGTCACTCAAGGGCAGGGGAGAAAGGATGAGGTATCTAAGTGCAAGGAGAGGGTAACACACAGACTTCCATGTCACAGAGGGATTTGTCAGGAAAAGAACTGGAGAAAACATTATTCGAAAGCAACCCCAAAATTCACAATTACAACGTCACAAGTGTAATCCTAAGAACATTTTGATGTTAAGAGAGTTAGGTTTCATCTCTTGCTCTTCTTCAATTTTTGTCTTTTCTATCTTTTTTTCAGTCTTTTCCTCAGTGCCTGTGTTCTACATACCGAAAGGAAATCACATGATTCTTCTCCAAAGAGTCTGCAGGCGCTTTTTAGCAGGTACTGAGTGCCAGTTTTGTTAACTTCAGAGAGAAGTGACTGGAAACTTTGATGAACATCTCCATCTCTGTTCAAACCAAGTACCTAGGGCAGAATGAATAAACAGACTATTTAACATGATCATTATATCCCCTTCTACACACAAACCCATAATCCTGTACAATAAAGGAACTTCTGCAGGCATCACCATCCCTAACTTCAAGCTCTACTATAGAGCTACAGTAATTAAAACAGCTTGGTACTGGCACAAAAACAGACAGGTAGAACAATGGAGTCAAATTGAAGACCCTGATATTAATCCACACACCTATGAACACCTGATTTTTGACAAAGAAGCTAAAATACAATGGAGAAAAGAAAGCATCTTCAACAAATGGTGCTGGCATAATTGGATATGGTTGAAATATGTCTCCAAAATATCACTATTATCTCATTTGTAGATAAAGGTAGAGATCTGGCAGATTAATGTGTTCCCCTCTAAATGATTCCCAGAGAACTAATTCCATACATGCGCTCATTTTCTTCCAGTTAGAGGTATATGTACACATACCTGAAAAGTCAGGCATTCCACAACAGCTCACTCACACAGCTGCATTACTCTTTAAACATAACACTATAAAAGCTGGAAAGATAATGAAGCCAGGGTGTATCCTGTTGCTTTGTACAGGACAGCACTCCACTTACCATCTTTCTGCAAGAGGTGAATTTATCAGAATGTGTGATGACTTTTGCCTAGATAAGTTAACATTCAATGTCTCCTGTAAACTGTAGAGATGACGGCCCCACACGATTGTCCTCCTCCTATACTGGCCCACATCAGGATCACCTCAGTGTCTCTCCTCTACCAATAAGCAACACTGACTTCCACCCACTGGCTGAGGATACAGAAGGAACCCCTGCTGTAGGGAGCCAAAACCAATCTGCTATTTTCCTTGTCTCTACTCCTCCTTGAAACTTCCAGCAAACATACCTGGGACATCTGGGCTGCGGTGTTTCCTTTGGCTCCCAGGTAGACCATAGCCAGGGCAGAAGAGATACTCAGGGGACAGAAAAACAGGTTTTGTGACTTGTCTTCTTCACCCAATACTTTTAATAGGCTGATGGCAAAAGAGCCATTGGCTTCACAGAGGTCATCCATCTAGACTGAAAGCAGAGGGCAGAGGCTCTGTAGTCATATGATCCCCAGGATATCCATCACAAGACACTAGGCATGTCAGATACAATATCTGTACCTAAAAAGATACCCAGTCAGCCCCAAGCCCTGTAAATATGTTCTTTTATTATCTCAGGTAGGAGTAAGTACCTTACTGGTACCATTTAATTAAGGATTTTAGACAGGGGCACTGACCTACAGTATCAAGGAAAGTGTGAGGAACTTGCAAAGGTAATTAGAGGAGAGAGAAGCAGGAAGGTTCAAAGTAATAAACAGAGATGCAGGCAGAGGTCCCTGTGATGTGAGGCCACCAATATGTCCACCTCAAAAAGCTGGAAAAGGAAAACAACCAAGGTTCCCCCTGGGGGCTTGGCAAGAGCAGGGTACCAGGCTCTGCTGCACCACTGCTGGGTTTGGCCCTCACTGAGTCTGTGGGAAAGGGGAGGGTTAATGAGCCTCAGGTAAACTGAGAAGCTCAGGACCAGAAAGCAGACTTGAATGAACACCTGTGGAAGTGTCTGCTGAGAAGATCCACACACCACTGCGAGGTGACCTGCCGATAGACTCTTCATCCCCAAAGTTTCCTCTTTTCTGTCTTGGAAAACCCAAGACCCCCATGCTACATGCACACAGTCTCACTTCTGCAGAGAAAACTGTGGTCTTTCGGCCGTTCTAATTAAAGAACAATTCTGCTCCTGGATGGTCCATCTTCTTCCCTTCATTTCCACATTATCTCCATCGATATTTGTCTCACAAAAATAATACAGAACCAATATCAAAATCAAATATCCCCCTACATATATACAAATGTAACCAAATAGTGACCCATAAACATAAGACTCTGGGAAGCAGGTGCTCAAACAGCCTTCAAAATTCATTTAACCCCTCCCTCAAACAGGAAACCCCTCCATTAAGTGGCCTATAGGGTACACAGCAAGTCACTGTTCTCTGCATCACCCCTTCAGCCCCAAGGAAGGATGCATTGAGGTCAATAAAGGCATTGTCTCAAGGAGGGAGTGACTGGAAGGCTAAGCAGGATGTGGAGCTTCCAGAGCTCCAGAGAATCATTAGAGACTCGAACTCCTGGATTCAGAGCTTGTGATTCCTAGTCATCTAACACACAAACGAAACACAACACAATATTGTTATTTTCTCTTTCAGTTAGATGTCTCTAATATAATTATTTAAGAATATTGTAAGAATCATTACTATTTTTCTGCAAATGTAGGGAGCATTTCTGTTACCATGTTATGTGAAAACTGGGAGAATAAACATTCACCAGTTTTGGAAGGTGTATTTAGGATGGTCTAATCTGAAATATGAACTGTTGAAGATGAAAAAATTCATGTAAATTAGTGGGACTACAGAAAGATACATTTATTTCCACAAGATCTACTGAGACTGGTGTGGAACCCTGCAAAGAGACTGTGGTGTGTATGTCTGAGTGAATAGCTTGTGTGTATGGATGTGTGAGTGTGTATATATGTGTGAGTTTGTATGTGTGTGTGAATGTATATGTGTGAGTATGTGTGTGCCTTGTGTGTGTGTGTGTATGTGTAAGTGTGTGTGCCGTGTGTGTGTGTGTGTGTGTGTGTGTGTAAGAGAGAGAAAGAGAGGTGTGGGGGTAGTGTGTGTGTATATGTGAATGTGTATGTGTGAGTGAGTGGTGTGTATGTTTGAGTGTGTGTCTTGTGTGTGTGTGTGCATGTGTATGGATGTGTGAGTATGTGTATATATGTGTGAGTTTGTGTGTGTGTGTGAATGTATATGTGTATGTGTGTGCCTTGTGTGTGTATGTGTCTATGTGTGAGTGTGTGTTCCGTGTGTGTGTGTGTGTGTGTGTGTGTGTAAGAGAGAGAAAGAGAGGTGTGGGGGTAGTGTGTGTGTATATGTGAATGTGTATGTGTGAGTGAGTGGTGTGTATGTTTGAGTGTGTGTCTTGTGTGTGTGTGCGTGTGTGTGTGTGAGTGTGTGGTGTGTGTTTATTTCACATGAAATCCAAACCTAGAAGCACTGCTTTGGCCAGGACTCCTTTAACCTATCCCTCAGCTTTCCTCAACAGTGATAAAGCTAAATTTGACTAAATGAACAAACAACAGAGTTCCTCCTGCTTAGAGCCCTGACTCCCTTCCTCCCAAAGCTTTCACTTTAGAAAATTGTGAACTAGGCTCTTTCCCCTCTTTGAAATGTAAATTTTGTTAGCTGTCTTCAGCCAATTTCACACCCACACTCCTCAAGAACCTCTGAAGCCCTCCATGGAAATGTGGCAGCCCTATTAACCCTGTTCTGGAAATAGTAAAACCCACTCTACCTCTGGCCAGGCAGCACAGACCTGTTGACCCAGTTACTCAGGAAACTGAGGTAAGCATAATGATCACAAGTTCAATGAACTTGGGCTACAGACCAAGTTCAATACCAGAGGAGAAATTTCAGAGCTATACTGTCTCAAAATAGTAAGTAAAAAAGAGGGTTTGACTGGCAAAGTCCTCCCCCCACAGCACACCCAGCACCACAAATAAATGCAAACTAAGAGAACAAGAGTCAAATTTAAGCAGAAATCTTGTTTCAAGTGATAAAAAGTAATAATGTAAATGTTACAGTCATTATAGCATTATCGTTGTGATTAGTCCTTATTGATTAATCATTATCGTTGTAATAGAATGTCATGGTCATTATTAGTTGTTGCTGTTACTAGTTACTGTAATATTAAATTATTGTCTTTCACATAATTTTAGATCTATTTACACTTCTATTAAACTTTATAGAAACCTTGGCTATTAATTCTCAGAATATTCAGAGCTAACCAAATTAGTCACTATGCATAATTCGATGGCCCTACAAGCTATTTATTTTAAAATATGTTATCTTTTCTCCCATAGGCACACATAATTTTAGCTGGAACTTTTAAGCCTTACAAGAAGATTATGTCCTAATTTGGCAAATTAACAACAACAATATAGAAAACCCTAGAAACTTCACCTAGAGCTGAAGGGTCATGCACGCATTCATTTCCCTGTGTAGACAAATCGTGACCTCAAAGTGCCACACACAGTAGCTTTGCAATCGTACTTTATTGGGTCCAAGGATTTGAGAGTCACTTGTATCTCTCAGATTCTCAGATGCAAGAAAAAATGGGGAGCTGATGGCTCAGACTGGGGGATTTTCTGCATTATTAAAGGTTCTGTTTGTTGCCCCCACCCCTCACCCCCTCCGCCAAGGCAGTTTTTAAGAGAAGGCATCTAACAACACCAAAGACTGCAGGTATCAGGTGACATGGGCAAGCCCCCATAGAGCAGGATCTAACTTGTCTCCAGGCAATGTTTGTCCCCTCGGCCTCACCTTACACTTGACATTTCAGAAAACAGAGGCCTACACAAATTTCACAAACTTCATCAACCAGAAGGTTGCACCAAAGAAACTCGAAGGAAAAAAAAAAAAAAAATACAGACAGGAAACATAACTAAATTCTGATTTGATCCTGCCTTAGGACAAACTCTTAGGGTGTGTGCACATGTGTGTGGGGGCGTGTGTTTTCATCTTGTCTGAACAGGCCAACAGAATGAACTGCATGAAACACAACCTTACATCTAATTGCTCTTAATTGCAAACTCCTAATTCTAGTTTCTTTCATGCCCCCTTTCTTCATCTCAATTCCTTCTCCCCATTCCATTTTAGCACCCAGGTAATAGTAGTCAGTAGTGTACCACAGCTTACCAACAGCATATTGACCACGATCTCTCTCTCCCTCCCCCCCCTCTCTGTCTCTGTCTCTCTCTCACACACACACACTCTCACATTCACACACACTCATTTGTAAAGCATGGTCTTACTACAATAGTTAATCCAGGACAGGAACTAGGTGACAAAATGATGCTGTCCTTGTTTTCTTGTCTCAATCTCGTTTACACATAGCTGCATCTGAGAAAGTTGGAATGTCAAGCAAATGGGCCTTGCCCAATAAGTCTAAAGTGAAATTATTGTCAGCAAAATACTAAGTAAAAGCTTCAGCGTTCATTCCACTGCTACAACCAATAAAGTGAATTAGCATTCAGCTAATTTCCATTTTTACAAGTGAAGAAATAAGGACCATGAGGATTAAATACTGCCCAGAGGATTCACAGGAAAAGCGACATTTTGAAAACCAAGCCTTCTGTGTCTGAGTGTGACACCACTCTCTTCGGCTGGGAGCATGGAACTCTCCTTTTCTCCACATATCTCCCAAGGGAAAGCATTCAGAGAGCATTGGTATTGTCCTCTCCTTCCATGTTTGTCATTACAGGGTCAGACAAGTGACACGTTGAACAATGTCTCCAGGAACTATGACAGAGACTCCCCGGGGAAAAAAAGGCAGAAGGCCTTTTGCCTCAAGTGCATTTTGTTTCTTGGATTGTTCTCAGATGTGATTTCCTGGCTCCTGGGTTAAACATTTACATCCAATTTGTACAACATGTTCATTCTTGTTGGATGTCAGAACATAGCTGTAGAACCCAATCTACAGGGCATGTTGAATGCTGTCCTTAGTGTACCCTGAACCTGGATATGGCCTTCTTGTTTTCATGTTTCCCAAGATACAATCTAGAGTACATGCCAGTAACTGTATTTAAATTGGTCTATCCTGAGAAAGTTCTGTTAATATTAAATATATGAATACTGGCATTTATTTACATGTTTTTTTTCTGAACTCCAACAATCTCTGTTGGATTGCCGATTGTTTTCTTTGTTACATGCATGTATGAAAGTACACTGAAACTAAAGTTGTCTGCATTAGGCTGTAGTCCACCCCAATCTTACAGGTTCTCAGATCTGCACAGGTTGACCAAAGTCAAGAAAAGGAATTGTCAGATCACTGACCAGAATCATGCACTGTAACCTAAGGAAGACAGAAACACTCAAAAGCCTGGTTCCCTGCAGCAGCTGATCTGCCAAGGATTCTGTACCAAGGAACTTCACCAAAAAAAAAAAAAAAAAAAAAAAAAAAAAAAAAAAAAGTG